CAACTTTTCATGTCCTAAGATAACCTTTCATTAATCATGAATTTATATACCTTCCGTCCAGGGTACGGGTACTCTAGTATGTTTTAAATAGTTCGTTACCCTAAAACAACAATCTCTTGATTACAACAATGAAATTCATGGTTGTTATTTATGGCCCTCCCAACTGTATATTTTAAATAGTTTGCTCTCCTACCATAAAAATCTCTCAATTCCAATATCTTACAATATACTTGACAGTTATAAACTGTTTGTTGTAATATATATTCAAGTATCAATGTTAAAATCAAATTGTGTAGAAAATAACGAATATTTTGATATTTGAAATAAATATGCCAATACCGAACCAAGAAGTTATAAATATATAAATAATTTGCCAACATATGTAGTTGCAGGTTCTGATGGAATAACACATGGTACGTTGAAATTAATATGTCATACGATTTCTGAAGTTATATGTGACATTCTTAATTTGATTCTAGATGGCGAATTTTCTACGCATTAGAGCGAAGCAATAATTTTACAAAACAAGAAACGTTAAAGAAATAACAGATTACAATAGCTTGGGAATTGTTTTTACAAGTATACTAAATGAAAGGTTAAATATATATGCAGAAATAATTTCAAAATTTCGTGAAGAACAAATCATTTTTTTGTTGTTTTTTTAATTTTGCGCAAAGCTACACGAGAACAAATCGTGTATAGAAAGTGTTTCAATACTACTGATGACGTTTTTATTTCAAACTGCCTTCAGGAGAAATATCTATTAAAGAGAAAAAGTAGGCTGCATTTTGCATTTATTGATTTATAAAATTTTGTGACAAAGTAGAAGATGGGTTAAGGTTACTAAAAGGTGGATTAATGTGAAGAGAAGATGAGTTGCCCCCCAGTGGCACAGCGGTATGTCTGCGGACTTACAACGCTAGAAACCGGGTTTCGATACCCATGGTGGGCAGAGCACAGATAGCCCTTGTGTAGCTATGTGCATAATTAAAAACAAACAAACAAACAGAAGATAGGTTAAGGCTTAGGCAAAGGTACATGACAAGTTTGTTTCTGTTTGCGATGTACACAAATAATCTTATTGAACAATTAAACAAAAATGACAAAAAATAGATAAACAAAAAACATTGAACGTTTTAGATGATTGTTACGTTTTATGTATTTTAGTAAGTAACACTGACGGGGAAAATTAACAGAAAATATTATAAGTAAGTTATATAGAAATGGTTCGAAATAAGTTATTTAAGAATATTTTAGAAACTTACAAGTCAGCTGTAAATGTGCAGGCCTAGAAGATTGTGGCAGGTTACTTATAAAACAAAATGTAGTAAACATTGGTTAAGAATATCAAAGACGCCATGATGTCAATTCCCAAAAGCTTGTTATTTGATGATAAATATTTTAGTTGAATGTGAAAACAGTGCTGGATTAAGAAGTTGGCCTCAGCACTGATCTTCATTAATAAGTCAAATACAAATCCGTACTATTCATTAACTATTAACAAAAGCGATATGTAAATAATATACAAAATACTAATTCTAATAGATTTAAGGTAATGATAACAATATTTTTTGTTAAATGGTAGAGCAAATATTTATGAAAAAACAAGCTGTAAGAACGTGTTAATGGAAAAGTAGAAAAATATATTTATATGAAAAGACTAAAATCGCTGTTGTTATAGTAACACATGTACACAAATATTTTTTAAATGCGATATCTAGTTTTTACTCACTGTTTTCTCTTAGTCTGGGTACTCCCTCTATCTTGGAGTCTCGCGGAAATTGTATTCATTTACTTCCTTTAATTCCGGACAGTGTGGAAGAAATATCCGAAGTTTGCCTTTCACTTATGGTTTTACATTGGAAGTGGATTATAAAGGGTTATTTTCTGATGAATTAAACAAAGAATGTTATCAATAAGAAAAGGGTGCAGATTTGAACAAGTATTCTAAATTAAAACTTATAAAAATTTCAAATCATGGTTAGAAATTTAAAAATATATATTAACGAGTTTCACGAAAGACACAAACCTTCGTTGTCTAAGTAACGAATTTTGTCATAATTTAGAAAACGAAACTGGAAGATTTAATCAGACAAACATTCTGAAAGCTTGTAGAGTTATTATTTAATTAATGGCCAGTTTTGTCTGGGGGCCAAATTACACGCTATACTCAGTTGCCTAGAGCTTAAAGAATTGAAAGAAATATGGTTCCTTAAATGTATAATAATAATAGTTCAACAAATGTAATTTTTAAAATTGAATAAAAAAATGAAGATATATTAAGGAAAGTAAGTGTTTTCATAACCAATATATCAAATGTAGAAGAGTATAATGTAGATTGTGTATGAAGTACTAGGTCAATGACCTTCTCTCATCGTGAAAGCAAACAAGCTACTACAAAGTTGATATCTTCTTCCTCCTCAGAAATATAGAATGTAATAAATATTACCCAGGTACATGAATGACATTAGTTTTATTAGAAAAAAATATATAGATATTTTCGTACTAGA